GTTTGATGGAGGGGAAGGCCAGCCGGGGGTCCAGGACAGGGAATTCCCATGGAATTCCATGGATTTACCGGGTTTGATGGAGGGGAAGGCCAGCCGGGGGTCCAGGACAGGGAATTCCCAGGGAATGGGACAGGGAATTCCCAGGGAATTCCATGGATTTACCGGGTTTGATGGAGGGGAAGGCCAGCCGGGGGTCCAGGACAGGGAATTCCCAGGGAATTCCATGGATTTACCGGGTTTGATGGAGGGGAAGGCCAGCCGGGGGTCCTCGGGGGGGTGGGCGCGGCGTTTCTTCCTCCAGCGCCGGGCGGGGTACGAGTAGAGCTGTCCCGCGGCCAGGCCTGGAAAACACCCGGAAAATCCCGAAAAATCCATGGGGGGAGGGGGAGAAACAACCCCAAATTATCCCAAGGGGTGACACCCCCGCCCTGTATCCCCTTCCCACGGTGTTCCCGGGGTTTCCCAGGTGTGTTCCCGGGGTTTTCCAGGTGTGTTCCCGGGTTTCCCAGGTGTGTTCCCGGGGTTTTTCCAGGTGTGTTCCCGGGGTTTCCCAGGTGTGTTCCCGGGGTTTTCCGGGTGTGTTCCCGGGGTTTCCCAGTTGTGGTTCCCAGATGTGTTCCTGATGTTCCCTGGGTGCGTTCCCAGGTGCGTTCCCTGTGTCTCCTGGCTGTGTTCCCGTTATCCCCAGCTGTATTCCCGTTACTCCCGTTACTTCCAGCTGTATTCCCGTTATTCCCAGCCATATTCCCATTACTCCCAGCTGCATTCCTGTTATTCCCGTTATTCCCGTTATTCCCAGCTCTATTCCCGTTACTCCCAGCCGCGTTCCCGTTATTCCCGTTATCCCCAGCTGTATTCCCGTTATTCCCATTATTCCCAGCCGCATTCCTGTTAACTCCCAGCCGCATTCCCGTTATTCCCGTTATTCCCAGCTGCATTCCCGTTACTCCCAGCCACACTCCCGTTATTCCCGTTATCCCCAGCCGCATTCCCGTTATCCCCAGCTGTATTCCCGTTATTCCCGTTACCCCCAGCCGCATTCCCGTTATTCCCGTTACTCCCAGCCACACTCCCGTTATTCCCGTTACTCCCAGCTGTATTCCCGTCATTCCCGTTACTCCCAGTCGCATTCCCGTTATCCCCGTTACTCCCAGCCGCGTTCCCGTTATTCCCGTTACTCCCAGCCGCGTTCCCGTTATTCCCGTTATCCCCAGCCGCATTCCCGTTATTCCCGTTATCCCCAGCCGCATTCCCGTTATTCCCGTTATCCCCAGCCACATTCCCGTTATTCCCATCACTCCCAGCCGCGTTCCCATTATTCCCGTTACTCCCAGCCGCATTCCCGTTATTCCCGTTACTCCCAGCCGCATTCCCATTATCCCCAGCCGTATTCCCGTTATTCCCGTTACTCCCAGCCGCATTCCCGTTATTCCCAGCCGCATTCCCGCCGTACCGGGCCCGCGGTGCCGTTTCTCCATCCAGATGTAGCAGTTGCTCTGGGCCACGCCGGTCTGGGAGTCGAGGAAGGGCAGGCGGACGCTGCGCTCGGCGCAGAGCCGGGCGTTGTAGCTGTGGCACTGCTCCATGGCATCCCGGTAGTACTG